ATCATTACTTATGCATGTGTGGTGGTATTGGATTCTATACCCATCTTCCCCAATTACGGGTTAGTGCTTTGATTCAAATAGGACCACTGCATACTTCTATTTTGTCCATTTCACAATGTGGAGCTAATATGTTTTTTTGTCTTCATCAGGACAATATACCATCTGGCAAAGTCACCTGCATATTGGCTCTCCGTGTTGCTTATAATAGTCTTAGCATTACTCCCTCGCTTTATTTGGAAAGTTATACATCAAAATTTTTGGCCTTCAGATATCCAGATAGCTAGAGAAGCTAAGATACTGAGAAAAGAACCTAATTATTTTGGGTCTAAGCCAGATCCAGGTTCCAGTTAATACGTATATTATTAACTGATCCAATTTGCTATGACCTGGCCAGAGTTTGTCCAGCCAAATGTGAAATTTAATGGTAAGTTCAGTTTCATTTATACATCTATTCCTTTTCTGTTTCATTCAGGGTACCTTCCTTGCTCTCTGTCTCTGTGGTTGGAGAAAAATAATTCTCACCTATGGGCATGAGCTTTCTCGAACAGTAACAAGCCATATGTTAAACCCCATGGTCAACCCATTTTCGCACTTTCATCATCATCTTTCTCTTTAATTGAATTCTGCACTTGTGTGTACATATCATGTTAAATATGTAAATGTCTAATTAGTATATCTTTGTTAAAAGAAATATGTACTTGTGTATACATATATATATATATATATTAGCATTTGGGCCCATGCAATGCATAGCAATTCATTTTGGTCCTCTTTTTTTTGTAAAATTCATAATATGAATTTCTATTTCTGTTTAAATAGAGATATGGTTGAGGGTAGGCAGTTGAAACTGTCCTGGATTTTCTCTGAACTTCGGTGGCGACTTGATATTTACATGTTTATCCCTTTTATGATGAAAAGCACAGACATATGGCATGGTTTTTCTGGACAAAGAGGTAGCGTGACAGACCTTAAAATGTGTTCACATTATATTATATAATAATATAAATAGTATAGATGTATGTATTGTAAGTTCAAGGAAACTTATACCATGAGAAATAACACACAGATTTCATGATAAAATGGGCAGTTCAGAGATCAGTCCTTGTGTAATAGATATGCCTCCTGCTTCCTCCGTAGTGTGGAAGCAATCACATTTAGCTGGACCCATTTTAATGATTTTTATTTTGCCCTGCAGTTCATATGAAAGTGACACAAGCTGACATCATTCCAATTGGATTTAGCATTTGAAATGACACAAAGGGAAGAGGGGAAGTGCAGATCCGAGGAAGAGAGGGGGAATGCAGAGCCGGAGGGAGGGTGAGGATTTGGTTGATATACTAATGATAAGATGGTCTGGTCGGGAAGGAAAAATGGGGGGAGGAGTGGGATAGAGTTCTTTTAGGGCTTTGTTGATATTTGTGGGGTTTACTATTGGAACTAGCATATAAGCAGAATCTGTAGTCGGAATTTCATCAAGGTAAATGTTAGGAGTATCAGTAGAGAAAAACAAAAGTATTATAATAGTTTCATGTAAATATGAGGTGTTTGATTCTCAAAACACTTAAAAGAAATGAAAGGTGATGTGTTGAATACAATCCAAAGATATACTCGGTCCTCTATTTCTTGCAGCTGCTCCCAGTACCACCACAAGCTGACTGTCTTAAGCACGGTGAGTTACCATTTCTGTTAAAGTCTTGCGCATATTATAACAGGAAAGCAAGTCTCATCTGCTCTCCCTTGAAGGGCTTCAGAAGCTATATGGCCCTGGAGGGAGAGGGGATGTGAAATGCGTTTGTTATTCTTTTCTTGATTCGCTCTCGAATGCCTCTTTACCTCCTTAACCTAGACATGGTAGATAGTAGGATTGTGTGACATGTAGATTTTAGATAAAGGTTGGATAACAGAACAAGTTCCAAATAGTCTCAAATCAGGTTTCTTTGTAGTAGTCTATCTTTTGTTCTGAAACGAAAATGATGTCACTGCTGATTATTAATGTAGAAGCCCATTCTCTTGCAATTTTCCAATTTCCACTCATGCCAATCCATTTCTGACTATAGTATTGTGAATTAAATCTACTCATGGCAAGTTCTTATTAGACTAGTTAAGACTCAGTTCCAGCACTGTAATATTTGCGTTTTTGCATTATTGTATCATATTACAATGTTATAGACTCAGAACTTATACAGAGAACATATACCCAAATGGAAAGAGTACCATTTGGTGAGATAAAAAAATCCGGATCAACAGATTAATTACATTGATTGTTCCAGCATGGTAATAAGTAATGTGTAGGTGAACATTTACATTCGTGTGCACATGGTTAGTAGTTTATTTACTACTAAACATACTTGATCAAGCGGGTAAATTATTTTTTCCCAGCTACGGATCTCATAGAGTGCATTAGATACCTGTTATGTGCCAAAGGAGTGCATTAGATACCTGTATTAAAATAATTCTACAATAGTGTGAACACTGTAGTTGAAATAAAAATTAAAAAAAAAAAAAAAAAGGGTGATGTGAACACTGGATGGTACCTTTTCCACGACGTGGGGTTGTTCTTGGGGTCTACATCACATGGTGTTGGATGGTACCCTTAGCATTGCATTTGCTTTGCCAAGAAGGATCGATGTGTGTGGGTGGGGTGGGGTGTGGTGGTGGGGTCCAAAGCCTTGCATCATTCTCTCTCTCAAAAATTACCCATTGGGGATGGGGGGGAAGAGATATACCCTGGCATGCAATGCAAGTTGTTATCTGAACTCGTTTTGGTCAAAAAGAGAGTAGTATATAGCTGAGCTCATCACTCATCTGTTGTGTGTGGAAATTCCTTTAAAGTGTGATTACTAATAATCTTATTAACTTTTATTTTAATGGCGGTAAAGACCTACATAAAGTGGGTGTTTAAGAAGTTGCTATTTTAATAGATTATTTTAGTTTTTAACTATTTTAGAATGTTACAATTTTTGTGTTTGGGAAGATAGTTGATTTTTTTAAAATTGGATGTGATGTTTGTGAGATAAAAAGTGAAATGATTATGGATTTGATGTGATATTGTCTTATTAGCAATTTTAACTTATTTTGTCTTTTAGTACCATTTTAACCAAAAAAGTTGCTTCCCAAACACTCCCAAAGCTTTGTTAATATGTTAGTGAAATTGTTAGTAATGGTGTGGGTGTTTGAAAAGTTGTTATTTTAGTAGATTAAAAATTTTGTATTTAAAAAGATAGATTTTTTTGTAATTAGATGTGATGTTTCTAAAAGAAAAAATAAAATGATTATAGATTTAATATGATATTTTATTTTGCTGATTATTTTAATTTATCTTATTATTTTATAAATTTTAACCCAACAAATTAAAAAAAAAAAAATTTACCAAACATCCAGTATTCATTCTCAATATTTCTACAAATAAGAAAGGTTTAGATAGGGCTATAAATGAGCTTTTAGACGTGTAACGATGTGTACTAACAATTTTGGATGTGTAGATCTAGATGCAGGGGATTCCATTGCATTGGGAATGATGAGCTTTACTTGTACATCTCTAGTTTTAAATGGGCATTCGATTGTATTAACTACCAAAGTATTGTCAGTATTCTAATAATCAATGTTAATAATAATGTCATTATATTAACATTATAGTTTTGGCTCATTATAAAAAAAATTACAGGCGGATGATAAGGAAACGTGTCCACCAACTTGCATAATATTTTAATAGTAGTTAGTAAAAATCTTCAACCAAAAAAAAAAAAAAGTTTGCCAGGTGGCACGAAGAGGTGACGGAAGAACATGACGAGAGCGTGCTGACATCACCAACGTCGTATGGGCCTTGTCCCTCACTTGCTGATACAACTCGTGTAAACCACATTCTCTCTGTCGTCACGACAGGTAATTCTAAATTCGGACGACGATAGGATTGTTTGGAATAATATAAATAAATATGTTTTTTGATTTTTTATGAAATATAAGTTGGATATGGGTTAAATTTGAAGTGATGTGATAAAGAGGTGATGTGACTTAAGTAAGATGATATGACTTAAATAGGATAGTGATTTTTTAATTTTTTAACTTTTTTAAGTTGTGACAAATAAGGCCTAAATTAACTCTAATGAGTTGAAAAAAAAAAAAAAAAAAAAAAAAAAAAAAATTCCTTCCTGGACCTATCTCTATGACAGGCCCAGTGCTAAATGTCAGGTTGCCTCCAAACAACATAACAACTCAACTATGTGAAAAGTAAATTGCAAGACTATACCAGTAAGATGTGAACCAAACTTCAAGTTAAAATGATGTTAAATGTATGTTGAAAAAACAAAACAAAAAAGATGAAGAAAATAAAGGAAAAGAAAAAAAATTAAGATTTGTAGAAAATCACGAGAGATATAGTTCCTGAACTCAAGGTTTTGTGTGTTTAATGACTTGATTGAGTTTATTAGATTTTTATAACCAAAATATTAACAAATTTCAGGAAAGGGTATACTGTCACAGTTATGCATTAGAGGTTCAAGGGAATGTCTCAGGAAAAGAGATCACTGGTCCAGGAATATATGGCATGACAAATGTCAAGATCACAGAGAAAACAGAAGCATATAGTTTTGCCAAACACATAAATACACCATTGTTAGGAAAAGTAGGAAAAACTAAGGGTATGTTTGGTTTGGTTTTGGGAGAGTAGTTATTAAAAATTGCTTTGGGAGAGAGAGTTTAGAAATTTTTTTGGTTTGTTTGGTTGTATATTTTGAAAGTAGTTTTGGAGTTTAGAAGTTTGGAATGATTTGAAAGTTTGTTATAATTAAATAGATGTGTGTGAGAGAAAAAGTAATTGAGAAGGAGAGAAGAGAGAGAAAAAGTGATTGATTGATAGGTAAGAGAGAGAAAGTGATTTTGGAAATTGTTTTGAAAAATTTACAAACCAAACAAATTTTTTAGAAATTTTTTCCCAAAATCACTCTATAAATTCAAACCAAACATGGCCTAAGTGTTTCCAGTATGACCTTCAAACGTCTAAACATGGCAGCAGAGTTGTTCCATGTACCATCAAGTAAAACAAAGTGCAGAGTTTTATCTCCATTTGTCTGTGTAGAATCAACATGAAAATTACCACCTTGTTGAACTGAAATAAGAAGCAAGAAATTGCACATTAAGTAGAGCAAAGCTACATTAATGACACACAGCAAAAAGAAAGAACGGGAAAAAAAAAGGAAAGAAAAGATCCTACAAAATGAATTGAAATTTTCTGTCAATTATCTTGTCAGTTCTCACAATGGACCAAGGATAAAGTCTGGCATGATGGCCGAGGCTTGATTCAAAAAATGTCAAAGATAGAGCGAACTGCAAAGTAGAATTCACATAGGCAACTCCCAATGGTCATAATAGGGCTTTCTTGGAATTAAAATGAAAATCAAAGACCTTCATTTTCACATAATCCATTTGATAGGCCAAGATTGAAAGAATTTTTTTGGGCCTATTTTTCTTTAATAAAGCTACAACCCAGCAACATTTTCAAAATTTTGTCACAAAAGGTCACAAGAGATAAGGCGCTCATGTACATAGTATATGAGGAACTTTTTCTCATAAAATATATTTGCAAATGTATGAAAAGACAATCAGCATGATTCATGATTTTTTAAATTAAAAAAGAAAAAGAAAAACATGTTCAGTTTGCATTATTGACCTGGTGAAGAATCTTGACTAAAGGTCATGAACCGACTTTGTTGGAGTATTCTTGTTGGGATAAAGGCACCAAACCTTCTCTTTCACTGAAATCAATGTAGAATGCAATCAGAATTCTGTCATTTTGAAGGAATGGATACTAAGAAAACATCAACTTAGTCCAAGAATCATGGCCGACAAATATATTTGACACACATTCATGTAATAAATGACACCTGATGATTGTAGTTAAATTAGCAAAAGTGAATTCCACAATACTACAACTATAGTATGCATTACTGATGCAAATATTAAGCAGGGTAAGTATCAGAAGTATTATAAATGACCAGGAAACCAGACACAGGATCTAATATAGTTATTTGGTAAGATTCTAACTCAGAAATTGCCTAGGAAAATAATTCTTAATTTTTTAATACTGTTTTATGTTTTTCTTAAATTTTTAAGTCAGGCAGTTCTATAATTTTGTATTTTGGGCCATAAAGTGGGCTATCATAATGGACTATTTTTTTGTGGGTTGATTTATGTAGTTTAAGGCATGTTTAATAGATCAGTCAAAACCTGCAAGCTTAAATGCATTCCACATTATTTGTTCAAGCTCACGAATGCCATAGAGGCAGAAAGTTGCTGCTTGAACACCAAATACTTGCCATAACAACTTCCCTGTGTTGTTCTGTCATAGAAAATCCTGCCAAAAGAGACTGTTGTCGGTGACCCTTGAAAAAAACTAAAACTAAATGTACATGAAATGATTAAATAATTCAAACCTTTGGGTGCATATACAACCAGAACCGAATGCCATGCCAGAGAGAGCAGGGTATGAG